TTTTTTTTTTTTTTTTTTTTTACAGTGCAGCGCTTTAAATGTATTTTCTCTTCCTTACGATTTTCTTTACGTTTCTTTTCTCTGACTTTACTGTAAGAATGCAGCGCATAATACATATACAAAATATGTATTAAGTGACTGTTTACGTAACCAGTAAGACTTCCGGTCAACAGTGGGCTATTCGTAGTCAGCATCCCAAACTCATAATGTGCTCAAGGATAACGCCTTTGTTTTATTTCTGCAATGCTGAGTATCTGGATATAGCACGTGCCTTAAAAAAAGTTTTTTTTTTAATGTTTATTTATTTTTGAGACAGAGAGAGACAGCATGAGCGGGGGAGGGGCAGAGAGAGAGGGAGACACAGAATCCAAAGCAGGCTCCGGGCTCTGAGCTGTCCGCACAGAGCCTGACGCGAGGCTCGAACTCATGGACCATGAGATCATGACCCGAGCCGAAAAGTCAGGACGCTTAACCGACTGAGCCACCCAGGCGCCCCGCATGTGCTTTTTTTAATCGAGGAATAATTTACCTTTAGTGAAATGCGCAGATCTTAAGCGTACCATCTGATGGATTTTGACAAACGTGTACACCCACATAGGACATTCACCCTCAAGATGTAGGACCTTTCGAACACCCGTGAGAGTTCCTCATGCCCCTTCCCGATTTCCACCCTACAGCCAGCCACTATTCTGATTTCTACCCCACAGGTTATTTCTGCCAGTCTCGTGTAAGTGGAATCATACAATATGTGGTCTTTTGTGTCTGGGTTTTTTTTTTTTTTTTTTTCACCCAACATAGTATTTCTGTGATTCTCCATGCTGTTGTGTGGATGGGTAGTTTTTTCCTTTTTCATTGTTGAATGACATTCCGTTATACGATAGTGTCACAGCTAGTTTATTTATAATCCTGGTGATGGGCATTTGGCTCATTTCCACTTTTTGGCTATTATGAATAAAGCCGCTATGAATATCCTATACAAGTCTTTGTACGGACATATGTTTTCGTTTCTCCTGGCTCTTTGTATCTAGAAGTAGGATTGCTGGGTCATATATATAGCAAGCATATGTTCCACTTTATAAGAAACTGCCAAACACTGTTGCAGAGTGGTTGTTGGCGTGTTTTTTTTTTTTTTTTTTTTTTTGTTTTTTTTTTTTGGAATAAGGATACAAAGGATTCATTTTTCAGGTCGGGCCTGGTGATGCTTACTTAGCATGGCTGTCCACCAGGGCGAAACAGAACGATGTGCTCAATTGAAAGCTGTGTTGTTATGAAGGCTTCGTGACGGCAGAGCCCAGTTATGACTGGGGCCAGAATGAGTCGGAAAGGAGAACTTTTTGGAAGGGTCCCCTGCTCATCACAATCGATTGACACTAGGAACCTAAAAGAATGGGCTGCAAAATTCATCGTCTCCAGCCTCTTAATTTTACCCAAGAGGAATCTGCATCCCAGAGAGGCTATGTGCCTCCCCCCAAATCACACAGCTGAGGAAAACCCCAGGTCTTCTGACTCCTAATTGGTATGATTGCCTTGCCTTGTGCTTCCTCTGCATGACATGGCATTCAGGCACTCGGCCATTGTTTAGTGACTAGAGAAGAACACAGAACATAGCTATTGAACTGTAATCATTTCCATCATATTCACAAGAATGAATAAAAGTGCTTTTAGCCAGAGCACCTTGGCAAGTGGGGTTGGGGGGCCAAAGGTTAAGAAGCACAGGCTACTTCTCTAGTAAAGCAAGGCCACGCAGGAGGTCTTGAGTGCCCACTGTGTGCCCAGTCCTGGCTTTGGTATGAGAGGACAGTCTCTGCTCCAAAGGAGCTCACGGTTAGGATACAATGATGGAAGCCAAGTTTAAGGCAATTCAGCAAAGGGCTATCGAGCTTCTACGGCATCCCGGGCATTGTTCTAGGTGTGGAGCATCTGGCGGCCAACGGGGTTGACATCCTGGCAATCTTTCAAAAGCTTTTCACCAACGTTGCCATATATATTAGTGTAAAGCATGCTCGTTCTTGAGATGTGTATTTGGTTCAGAATTTATGTGTCTGGAGGCCTTAGGACCGGTGCTGTTTTTAGGTGCTCGTGTCCAGCACGGGGTGGGGGGTGGGTGCAAGGATCAACAGCATCAGGGGGTGGGGAGAATTTGATGTGTCTCATTCCCTTGCACGAAAGCGGTCAAGGCGGAAAGCAATGCTTGTTACGAAAAGTGGAATCTTCGAATACCCACTGGATTGCTTAGTCAAGCTGTCCGGGGAGGGGGATCCACATGCAGTTCCGGGTCAGTGTTGGCTCCTTTGTTTTGCAGGAGGAAGGCACTAACCCAGGAGGCAAGTTACGGTTTGGGCCTCAGTGGCCTTTTTTTTTTTTTTTTTTTTTTTTAACTCCCCGCTGTT